GCCCACCGGCACACAACGTCACGAGTTGAGGTCAGCAGTACACCATCCCCACCATAAACAGTGTTGGTGCTGCACTGCTTCCCCBTCCTGAGACGCCGGATGGTAGACCAGAATCGCCTCGAAGCCGTGCGGAAGTCTTTCTCCATGGCCTCTCCAAACTCCTCCCACGCCCGGGTTTTTGCCTCAGCGACCACCCGAGCCGCATGCCGCTTCGCCTGCCGGTACCCAACAATTTGATTTTAGTTCCTTGCAAAGTTATTTTTATGCATAACACTGGTTGATTTGTGAAGAAAAAGCAGGGTTCAAAAAAGTCTTAAAGTCTAAAAAAGTTAAAATTAGAAAATCAAAATTTTAGGCCGAAAAAGTCTTAAAAACACCCAGATTTTCACCCAAGGTCTTAAATTTAATTTTGTCAAGTATTATTTTTTTTCTACTTTTGATCATTCCTGAGTTGGCTGCATAAATTAAGAAAGTTAAGAGTCGTAATCAGAGGTTGACACAATCTGTCTTCATGAAGCGCTAAGTTTGCTACTGGTCATGATTAAACTACAAATCCCATGATAACTGCAGGCAACAATGGCACAGTTTACTTCCATGTTTTTGACCTCTTTGCCGTTACAACCCCACACATACAGCCCCCCACATACAGTGGCTTATTTACCTGCTTAAAAAACAGAAGTTCAGTTATGTCCACTGCTTTTTGTTTAAACATGGGAAAGTGTGTTTTCAATGAGACTTGACTTGATATCAGTGATTTTTTCACTCGGTTAAAAGCTTTCACAGCAGTCAGATATGATCATTTCATTCAAATAACTCAGTGTTCTTGTATTAAAATTAAATATTCTTTAATAACTAAATTGATAACAATAAAAGGTTTCTATGTTAAAATTTCTGGGACCATTTGTATGTTTCTGTTAATGTGTCAATTTGGTCTTTAATGTCATTCCTAATGGTCTTAAAAGGTCTTAAGTTTAACTTACTGAAACCTGCATGAACCCTGAAAAGGGTCAGTGTTAGTGTTGGATGATTCACAGGTCAAAGGTTAAGCGATCGTATCTGAAAATGGCCACATATAAAAACTGGGCTGAAAATGAGTTGGGGGAGTGGAGAACAGCCATCGACCAAAAAAAAAAAAAAAAAAACCTTTGGATGGTGTTAGAAAACTGTTAGAACTGTTTGAACGTATATTTGTATTTGCTGTGCAGGAACATCTCAGGGACAGATGAGGAGGTTCATCAGGCCATGACGTCCCTCAGGCAGAAAGGCTTCATCAACTACTATGGAATGCAACGCTTTGGCACCACAGCTGTGCCCACACAACAAGTTGGCAGGTGAAACGCTTGGACAAAGGTTGATGAGGTTTCTTGAAATTTGACTTTGCATAATTTAACTCACCTAACATTGTCTCCTGTTGTTTCAGGGCTATTCTGAAGAACGACTGGGAGGAGGTGGTTGATTTGATTCTGAAACCTCGTCCTGGAGGTAATCCATTCCTTCTCTGTCTTATCTGTCCCTCTGTACGAGAGGTTAGTGAATAATTTTAAACATATTCTTTGTTTTGATGGCTTTCCGCAGCAGAGAAAGAATTTCTGGTCCGCTGCAGGGAGGAGTGGGCCAAGACTCAGGACCCGGAGGCGGCACTGAAAAAGTTGCCCAACAAGCGCTGCGTAGAGGGACAGCTGCTTCGTGGTCTGTCCATGTATGGCAAGAAAAACATCATCACTGCCTTTGGACTGGTGTGTTTTCTTTCTTTTCTGCAGTCAGGGTACAAAAAAAAAAAGAAAAGGAGAGAAAGTAATTTTGTTCATATTGAGTTAGGGTACTCTCACAATCAAAATATGATTCTTTTTTATCCACATATCTAAAGTTTTAGCTCAGCAGCTTTTCAAGGTTGTAATATCAGTTTCCTGTAACATAAATTAATAACAGTTTGCTATACATTTAGACACAGTTTCATTATCCTTCTCTAGACTTGGTGCCTACAGTTAAGTACCCATAATGCATTGTCAGGGATCCATCTGTGCCACTATACTAGAGTAGAATAATCTTTTTTGTGAAGTTGGATTTTATTATCTTTATCTAAAGACTTTTATTTCCTAGATCCCCCGAAACAGCCGGCTGATGTACATCCACAGCTACCAGAGCGTGGTGTGGAACACCTTGGTCAGCCGCAGGATCGAGGCCTTCGGCCTAAAGGCTGTGGAGGGGGATCTGGTCCTCAGAGAAAGTAAGTTGTGTTTTCTTTTGAACTTGTGGACCTAAATAAATTGACTAGTGCTTTAGAAATTACGCAACTAAATTTTGAATTAGCGCTGCCCACTACTGATTTTAACTTTAAAAGCTAAAAAATAAGCAAAAATACATGACGAGTATTTGACTTTTTTCTGTGTTGCTCTGTTTGCTATAATAATGTTAAAACAGGTGTACAATACAGGTGTGTAATAAATACTGGTTGTCTAACACAGTTTTGTTGACATCAACCAATTACCTTTGATCTAAATTATTTTTATACCAGTAAGGTGTTATTTAACAATCAAACACTAATGTTAGAGTTCATATGTTGTCCTGTCATTCAGTTTAAAAAGTGAAGACTTTCTTTAAAGCGCTGCTCAAACAGCATTTTTCTGCTCTTGATGTTGATTTGTTTCGTGTGGTTGAAGCCACAGCACACGTGCTGTCTGCAGAGGAGGCCGAGAGTCACTCCATCCACGACATCGTGATGCCACTTCCTGGCTTTGATGTCATCTACCCTTCTCATCACAGTAAGACTCTTTTTATTTATGCTAATGTATAATAATAATAATAAAAAAAAGAAGTTCTTGGAAATGAATACTGGATTACTTTAAAGGGATTCCTGATTAGTTGTAACATTAGACTTTATTTGATAAACATACATTTTAACTGTAAAATAAAGACTGTAAAATTACTGTTTAGTTTTCTACATTTTTAAAAATATAATTTAACACAGACGCAGCCATTTTATTTACACGGAAAGCATTCTGGGTAAATGATGATGTGGATAGGTCCTCGGTGTGAGTGCACTATATCCACCCTGAAGGTTAATCTTGGACCATATCTGATGATCGACTCTTTTACTTTAACTGAAAATGTGGATGGAGGACAACAGAGCTGCTTCATGGAAGAAGAACCTCATCTTAGCCTGTTAGCCTTCACGCTAGCGCCAGCGCTATATTGCCTTATACACTCCTGATCAAAATCGTTAGACCAGTCAAAAAAAATGCAAGAATTTGCATTTTGCYCTATTGGATCTTAAGAAGGTTCTAAGTAGAGCTTCACAATGTTAAAAGAAGAAATCAGTGCAAGAGACAAGAACTTTTGGGCAGGGAATTTTCTGAAAACTGCATTTACACTCTGTAATGGAACTAATACTTTTATGTTTAAGCTAGTAATTCATGACATCCTTTAATGACCTAGGTTTTCATGACATGCTGTTCATCTGCAGATAGAAAGATTAAAGTCAGAACAAGATTTGCTAACAACAGTCATTCTTAGATATCACTTGTGTTTATCTTTGTGTTTTCCATTGACCTTGTTTCAAATCTTGCTAAGATGATATAATGGTGTTTATTAACATATATACTGTATATGAGGCCTCTCAACTGCATCAACAGTGTTCAACAGTGAGTAGTGTGGAGTGGAGTGACAGAGAGAAMCAGAGGCACAGAGACAGGCCAGGTTCCTCTCTGTTTCCTGTTGTTGCAATAAAACTCAGCTGATCATCTCACGGAGTACCTTCATTCTTGGACCARGTATTTCTGTCTTTGTTAAATAAATATTGCCATAATACACTCAAACATGATTTTTTTCAGCTGATCAGAAGTTTAAGACCATAGTCTTGAAAAGCCAAAATCTGGATTCCATGTCATTTTCTGTCAAGTCTTTACACTGTCAACACCTCCTGATGGCAAAAGTAAAAAAGCTCACTGACTTTGAACGTGGTAGGATTGTTGAGCTGCATAAGCAAGGCCTCTCACAACATGCCATCGCTGCTGAAGTTGGACGCAGTAAGACAGTCATTTTGCATTTTTTAAATGATCCTGAGGGTTATGGAACAAAAAAGTCAAGAGGTAGACCCAAAAAAATTTCACCAGCTCTGAGCCGCAGGATCCGATAGGCTGTCCTTCAAGACACGGGACGATCCTCTACCCAAATTAAGGCCATTACTGGTGCTGACTGCAGCCCAATAACCATCAGACGGCATCTGTGAGAGAAGGGCTTCAGAAACAAAAAACGTCTTCAAAGGCCACGTCTTCTTCAACGCCACAAAATTGCCGTTTGGACTTTGCAAGGGTGCACCAAACATGGGACATTGAAAGGTGGAAGAAAGTTGTCTTCTCTGATGAGAAAAAATTTAACCTTGATGGTCCTGATGGCTTCCAACGTTACTGGCATGACAAGGAGATCCCACCTGAGATGTTTTCTACACGGCACAGTGGTGGGGGCYCCATCATGATTTGGGGTGCGTTTTCCTTCAATGGAACAATGGAGCTTCAGGTTGTGCAGGGGCYTCAAACAGCAGCTGGCTATGTGGAGATAATGCAGCGGGCATCCCTCATGACTGAGGGCCCTCATCTGTGTGGTAATGATTGGGTTTTTCAACAGGACAATGCTGCAGTTCACAATGCCCGCCTGACAAATAGGCTGCTACGATTAATCGAATAATCGACCACTAATCGATTATTAAATTAGTCATCGATTATTTTAATAATCGATTAGTGGTCGATTATTCGATTAATTCAGTTAATTCAGTTATTCAGTTAAAATTAATAAAAGGTATTTAAGCTACTTTTTGAACATCCAAAACACGTCCAACACTTGTTGGCTGCTTGTGCTCTTTAGGTCAGATGTGTATCGGGAAGCACCTCTGTTGTTTGAGATGCTGGGGGAACCATCTGATGGGGGAAAGTGGCTCGACCTAACACCGGTCTCTGTTTAATGGTGGATGAAATAAAGAAAGTGGCGGTACTTAATTTACTTTGAGCAAGCGAACGTCGTGCTCACAAGATTAATCCACCAGATAATTCAGAGGCGATCTGTTCGGTAAATTTTACTCCAGGAGCTGCGAGGCTTGTTTTCAAGCTTCAGACTGAACTGAAGCAGCGACTGCTGATGTCATTACGCTCTTGCGCGATGCTGTGTTCAGGACAAGCATGAAAAACTCACCACTCTTATGCCAATACGGTCGCAATGATGCATTTAGGTACAGAAATGGAATTGCATGAACATTCACGTAGTGGTAACTGGGGTAGGCCGTGGACGTCACAAGTAGGGCTGCACCGATTAGTTGAAATAATCGATGACGTCGATTATGTAAATTTGTCGACGCAGATTTTTTATTATCGATTCGCTGTATTACATAACCACCACGTGAATGTTCATGCAATTCCATTTCGGTACCTAAATGCATCATTGCGACCGTATTGGCATAAGAGTGGTGAGTTTTTCATGAGCTGTGATACCCTGTCTTTGAGCGAGAGGTGGAGGGGCAGGGGGCTTTTGCTGCACCTTGTTTTTCCTGTCTTTTTCTGAGTTCCCTCTTTGTAGCAGCTGTTTCAGTCACCCGACTCGGCTGTGGCTGTTGTGGCTCTTGCTTCACTGGGTCGGTGCTCATAGGAGGTGGTGTCTGAGGCCCGATAGCAGCAGCTGTGTCGTCATCAGATTCCGTGTTCAGCACCTCTTCCTCCTCGTCATCAGATTCAGAGCAGGATGCTGTCGGCGGTGGGGGCCGGCGACCAGGGGCCAAAGTGTCCTCATATTGTTCTCTCAGCCCATGCAGAGAGGGATAAATGGAAGGAAACACATGTTTAGTATTTTTATCAACAGCTTTTAAACCATTTTTTCATCCTTAACAGTAGGCTTTTTTCCCTTTTCATTTATATTGGGAGGAGGGCTACTTTTATACATACACATTTCTGAGCTCAGAGCTTTTCTTTCCCTCCTGTAAGCTTCTTCCTCCCACGCTGATAAACATTTTTTATGATGCTCTATTTCATTCAAATCAGAGACCTTTATCGTTTTTCTTGATTTAAGTTTTGATTCATGTTGCAGTAAACGGCCCCGGAGGTGGGTCAGCTGTCTGGGGCTAAAACTCCCCCCCTCCGGAAATCTGAATTTGTCAGACCACACATGCAGACATGACAAGGCCTCTTCGCCATACTTTTTAAACATTGCTTTTGCGCAGGGGCCGTCTGGTGCCAACATGGGCTGAGCGATAGATGTAATCTGACCCATCGCTATATCTCGTGCCTCCCTGCGCACTACTTAAAAACTTCCTTAAAATGGAAATCCGGCGGCCGCCTTTTTAGCTGACTTTTAGCCTACCCTGTTTCCCTGAAACAGCAAATGGAAAATTAATTTCCCCTCAGCAATTAGCCTGGCTAACTACCTACCTCAAAACGGTAAAGTCAAAACCTCCCTGTTTTAAGAACTCGGTCTGGAATAAAACGCTCCCAGAAAACCTACCTCAGCTAAAAATCAGTCAGCCCCTGAAAGCAAAACCAGAGCAGGCATCTAAACAAATACATTTTTAGAGTGTGCTGAGCCCGAAAGAGTTAGCTGTAGCACATTCACTCCTTCACTTATTTATTTATTTATTTTTCCGACAACGTAAAGAAGATATTTAGCTCACCGTGTTTCCATCAGACAGGTTCTTTTTCAGCTCCGGTCTCGAAAAGGCACCCACAAACGGCCGAGCCAAAAAGCAGAATCCAGTGTGGACACTTGTAGAGGGAAAACAAAAAAGCCTTCTTCTCTCTCCGTCCAGCCGACGGTTCGGCCGCAGCGGGCGACTCCCGAATCCGGAAACTGCCTATGACAACGCCAAAATCTGTCGCGGCAATTGGAGACAGAAACACATTGAAATAATGCCAAGAGAAAAAGTCTTGCATGTATGGTCGTAAAATTATTTATTTATGGGCAGACGAAGAACAGAAAACAATCAGGAAGTCTGTTGAATGTGGCCACCTGTCATGAGATGGCAAACCAATGATATACTCCCAGTTAACACCATGTGACAATGAACAACCAACCCAAACCTGCCTCATGTTACTAACAGCCAATGACAAGCTCTAAGATCAAGACAACGCCATATCTTTACATGGAGAGAGGTCAGCCTGATGCTGGAGTCCCTGACGTCTGGAGCCACAGATTAAAACAGGCATAAGACATCACAAGATATGAACAGTGGACAGTGTCAAGGTGACAGATAATTAGTCCATGACAAAGTCATCAACAAGAATGGTGGAGCTACTCATTACTGAGTCCTTTTTTTGACACCTTGATTTCTGTTTTGGGGGGTTTTCGGGTTTTTTTTGAGCTATGGTCTTAAAGTTTTGAGCAGCTGAAAAAAATCATGTTTGAGTGTAAATGCAGTTTTCAGTTAATTCCCCGCTCAAAAGTTTGTGTGTCTTATGCTGATTTCTTCTTTTAACATTGTGAAGCTCTACTTAGAACCTTCTTAAGATCCAATGGTGTAAAATGCAAATTCTTGCACTTTTTTGACTGGTCTTAAGATTTTGATCAGGAGTGTATGTATTAGCTCAGCGCTAGCGCAACAAACTAACAAGTTAAACTAAGGTCCTCCATCCATATTTTCAGTTGCAGGCTGAGTCATTTCTGCATTCCCTTCTCTGTCATGTGGATGGAGGACCTCAGTGACAAGAGGAGAATGTGTAGTGCTGAGCTAATACATATATATGGTGATAGAATCGGCGCTAACGCTAAAGGTAACAGGCTAAGCTGAGGTTCTCCATCTATATTTTCAGTTGCAGGCTGTGTCATTTCTACCTTCTCCTCTCTGGTTTCATTTAAAAGAGCTGATCATCAGATATTGTCCAAGATTAACCTTCAGGGTGGATATAGCTCGCTCACACCAATGACCTATCCACGTCATCATTTACCCAGAAGGCGTTGCGTGTAAATAAAATGTCCGTGTAATATATTTTTAAACTTTTATTTTAAAAATTATAAAAACTAAACAGCCTACAGTAGTTTTACAGTCTTTGTTTTACATTTAAAATATATGTTTATCAAATAAAGTCTAATGTTACAACTAATCAGGGATCCCTTTAAAACCAGTGTTTAGTGTACAAGATTTTTTTTATTAGCTGCTTGGATAATTGTCTTCAATTAGAGTTCCCCAAAAAACAAACTAAAGTTAAAAAATAAGTTTTAAGATGTGTTTAAAATGATGTTACAATACCTTTAGCTCTGCCGCTCTGCTGTGTGTTTGAGTTGGTGCAGGTTACAGAGAGCTGCTGTCAGCAGACGGGCTGGACATCGACAACATGAGACACAAAGTGAAGGACTACTCTCTGGCTGGAGCCTACAGACGTGTCATCATCAGACCCACTGATGTCAGCTGGTCAGACACATTGTCCTCCAAACAGACAGCATTAAAGTTCCAGCTGGCTTTTAACGGTTAAACATTAAAAAGCTAAAGCTGCTGCTTTGGTTACTTTAAACAGATGTCTTGGTTCTGTGTGCAGGGAGGTGATCCGTTACGATGATCCCAAGATCTCTCTGGTGCACAGTGATTTTGAAAAGCTGAAGAACAAACCTCCCCCCGTTTTTAATAAAGGTAAATGTTTTTTAGATCTGTGTGGACACAAGTTAGGCAGATGAGATCACATAAAATATAGAAACTCACTAATAAACATGCTATTGTAGGAGGTGATAAGTGTGAAAATGTAATGGAACATTAGAAACACAATGAAGCCAGTTTGTATCAGACCAGGATGGTTGTGATGTAAACGTTAAAGAGGAACGATGACCTTTAGTTGTGGTTGAATATTTTGTCTTGCAGAGGGGAAGTATCGCGCCCTGAAGATGGAGTTCTCTCTGCCTCCTTCAACTTACGCTACCATGGCCATCAGAGAGGTCCTGAAGCTGGACACGAGCATCAAGAAGCAGACCGAGCTCAACACGCTCTCATTTAACTGAGACATGAACATGAACCGGGCTCATCACTTTGTGACTTTTTGTTGAGTTTGTGTCCCATGCATAATAATGTCTAAATAACTCATGAGATTGATTGATTGGATGACAACAATCAGCATATAACTAATAGTCAACAGTTTTGGGGAAGGTGTTTTTACTTTGAGAGGTTTTGTACTGTGGTGAGTCATATTTTCAATAATTTAAGGCTTTCAAGCTGGTAATTTGTACAGAAACAAGATTTTTTTAAATCATTATTTAGATTGGAGCTGTGACTCTCTTAAAGAGAAAAATTAAACAAATGACTCTCAGACTGCGTCTAGTTGTATTTTATATAAGTAGCTCATCATTAGAGTTGGATATTTTTAAGCTTTTTTTGTTTATCCTTACTTGTGAGTCTTTAATGAAAGCATTTGTTTAGAAGTACCCAAGTCAAAACTAACCTACAACCATGGGTGGTTGTAGGGGAGGGGCCACAGGGCCATTGGCCCCTACTGAAATCTGATTGGACCCCTGAAGCGCCCCTGTCCTGTCACTCATCTGTCCTTTGGCTGAGAGCGATGATGGTGGGTGCAGTGCCATGCCCAAACACTAGAGAGTCAAACAGTAAAGTCCAGCATGAGTCAGTCTTACAGCAGTCGTCTCTTCTTGAAAAGACTTGAACAATTTTGCAAAAGATATTGTTCGACTGGCAAACAATGGCTTCATTTAGATGCTTTGAGAATATTTTATCTATGTACTGTAAAAATGTGTGTAAAATTGATAAGGAGAATGTAAGCTCTTTAAATTACATTACGTTACAATTATTGGAACATACTGTATGTGACCAGTTAAATTTATACACCTTACCAAAATAGAGAATTTATATACAAGGATGTTGAACAAATACTTGGCCCCTCTATGAATATTGTGGCCCCTTACTCAGAAAAATCCTAGATTTGCTACTGCCTACAGCACATCTGTAGATAACAGAATTTTACACAGACATCAAACATGCATGACAGTTAATCCAGCAGAAATTATATAGTCTTTCAGTAGTGCTCTGCTGTAGCTGCTGGTTGTTTGCATGTGGCCCTAGAATTTTGTGTAAATAACTGTATAATGTGAGGTTGAGGATGTAAAGATTTATAAAATTGGCTTTGCATGAAACGCTTTGCATTAGAAATGTTTTAAGAAATAAGTAATCAGAGTAATCGTTAGCTCTAAAAATTTAGTTTGTTAAACTTGTGCCATTTCTAAACAAAAGATCTGTGATGTCAAATATAAACCAATCTTTTTTTTTTGTCATAAGAAGAAAAAATATTCTAATTGTATTTTAGACCTTCTGGTAGAGTTGCAAATTCCAGCTGGCAGAAAAAATTCCCTCAGACTGTGGTCAATCAGGTTCGACAGAAATTATTGCACCACGATTTAATGTTTAACACAGTTGTGTCTGACTTGTTCCTAAACGGGAGAGAAAAAACTGAAAGGACAGAAAAAGACAATTTTGCTCTCCACTTTATTTAAATTTTCAGTAGTAGTTGACATAATGCCAGGATCGCTTATCCAAATGTAAATAAAACTTTTAAAGTCTGAACAATCAAACAGAAAATGAAAAACAGATTACTGGGGTGATCTAAAGTGAGATGAGTAATTTTCCGAGCAGAGCTGCAGGGAGGCTGAATAAATGTAAAACTCTGGTCTAATCTGTCTGTTGAACAAAAGGGCTATAGAGGCAGATCAGTTCACAAAAAAAAAAAATCCCTGATAAGGTAGAGTACAACCACTCAGGCTGTGAGTTTATGGCACATTTGTATATAATCCTACAGCAGACTGAGTCGTAATGCAAAACTTTCCCATTTTTAATTTGTAGCAATTAATAAATATTAGGAAGTCACACATTTTTATAGTTTTCAATCACATCCTTAAAGGGGTACTGAAAATAAGTTAGATTAAAGGGGTGCACTGTAAAAAATAAAACAGCATAAAGTGAATTTGAGAGGAAAAAAACATTTGCAACTTCAAATATATTTTTTCTTAAAAGCAAAATCTTTATTTTAACCACAACAAAGTACTTCCTCCAGTTTTCTTTAGCTGGCATAACTGCGATTTAATTGAATCAACTCTTTTTCTCCCTGTTTACTCTAAACGTGAGCTGTCTGCACTGTTAGTCGGTACACAGTTATCGTAGAAGATCTGGAAGGTGCTGCTGACATAAGTTACCCTCTTCAGGAAGTCCTCCAGCTGCTGCACCGTCATTTCCTGGACTTCGTTCTTCTCCCTGTCGTTGAGCCCGTAAGCCGCGAACGCCGGGAACTTGGAGCGCTCTGAATACGGAGCGTTGCGGTCAAAGTCGGCGCAGCAGTAGGCCGACCACAGGTATGTGGGGATGGCCAGGCGGTTGACGTTGAGGCGGCGGATCATGTGGCCCGATGTGGTGACCCCGGTCACCACGAAGGCCATTCCGTGGCAGTAGTTGTTGAGCCTCTGGCGGATGGTGTGCTCGTAGTTTTTCCATGGGCCGATGTTGAACTCTCGGACTTGGGGGACCACGTTGGTCAGAGTGTAGGTGGCCGCTTTGTCGTCCAGGTGGGCCTGGTGCTCGTCGGGGTTCAGCTGACCACGTTCAAAGATCACAGTGTTGGAGTAGTCGTCGAGAACGGCCTGGGAGTCCTCAAAGATGTTATGGACGTTTGCTGCGGGGAACTGCTCCATCTCTCTGGGGCCTGACACCGTGGAGAGCTGTTGGGATGAACATGGTCAGAGTTTGAAACAAAAGCAGTAACAGGATATGAGATAGCGTATTCCAAAAACCGTCCCTACCTGTGGCTCATACATCCATGGCACGTCAACCTTCTTGAAACCATCGGAGCGCTTGAAGGTGTACGCAGAATAAACGGGGATGTGGTTGATGCTGTCATACAGGGTGATGAATCTAGGCTTGCCTGCGTAGAATTGGCAGATCTTCTTTAACTGCTGCTCCTCGAGCCCTCTCGGCGGCGTCCCCATGTACAAGAACTGCTTACACTCCGGTGAGATGGTTTCCTGCACCTCCGCTCCCACCATCACAATGATGAGCAAACATACGAGGGTCCAATCTGTTCTGTAGACAGACATGGTGAAACCTGCTCCTAAAGTCTCCGCAGCGCATTTAATCTCTTTGAAACGCTCCATCCACTTACTACCAGGATGTTTTTCCTGCTCTGGGTTTCAGACCATTTCAGGCAGAATATGCAAATTCCTTATCTTATTCTGTTCTCACATCACCCAAACTATGTCTAACAGTCACTACTGATGGCTCAGTGAAAGTCAAAAGTAAATTGAGCTCTTTCCTCTTTCTTCCTTTTTCTTGGCTTATTATAATTATGTTTCACTTGGGTGTGAATCTACATTCAGAGCTTAACAGCATAAAACTTGACAAAACCTCCTGACTGGTACATTTGGTTAAATGCCAAACTCAGAAGTTGTATTATTGCCTGCTGATAAAAAGTGAAAGGCTGCTTGATTCTGTGTCTGTAGGAGTGTTTTTCTCTTTGATTATTTTTTCAACCTAGTTCATCATGGGCCCTATAGCTAACTAACGTTACAAAACACATAAATAACTAAAACACAGTCAACATAAAACAATCTCAGTTTAAAACTCTACCCTGCGCCAGGCCTTTAGTTTCATACTGTATATTTGGTGATGCTAAATGCTAACGTCACCATATTAAAAGTTTAACGTGATTTCTTTTCCACTATTGATGCCAGTCAGACAGTGCCAGCTCTAGTTAACATGACGCCCCTTGTGCAGTTTTTTAAATCTCACTGCCAATTACATTTACATAACAAATTAAATAGTTTTATCTTTGATATTATTTTTTATCTTTTGAAACCAGGTTGTCCAGTTAAAATAATTAATATAATTAATTTGAATACCAGTAGTCTACTTCAAACCTGCCAACACCTGCTGACATCATGAGAAACACCTGTTTATGTTAACCAGCAGCGGTGGAGTGATGCAGTTCTAGGGGGAGTCCAATTGCATACTGAAAATACAGTAAAATATCTGTTCAAAACAGCATTTTCAGCCATTTGAAGATCGTTTCTTGGGATTAATAAAACAACCTAAAATCAGTGAAGGTAGAACACTGGAAACCAGACTTTAACCTGAACAGTCTTTTAACTTGTTTAAATAGATCAGATTTGGATCGCCTTCAGACTGTGCTGCAGCGAGACTTTTAATGGGCACACTCCAGTTTTGCCTTCTCTTCATTGGTTACCAGTTAATTTTAGAATTCACTTTCTAGTTCTTACATTTCAAGCGCTGCATGGTCAAGTCCCCCAGTATGTTGCTGACCTGCTGAAACAGCATTCTTCTTCCTGTGTGCTGAGGTCAGCAGGTCAGAGTTTGTTGGAAGTTCCACGCACTACGTTTAAAACTCGTGGGGACCGGGCATTTCAGGCAGTTGTTCCAGGACTGTGGCACTCTCTCCTATCCTTTTCTTGCAGTGACTCTTCTAAAAAGCAACTGAAGACATTTTTGAACTGAAAAGCTTTTAACAGATTAACTTATTTTATTTTGTGTCATTGTGTTTTATCTGTGTGTTTTTGTTTCAATTAGTTTTGTATGTGAAGCACTGTGATATTTATCTGTGAAAGGTGCATTGCAAAAACTGTCCATCTTACCAAGTTTTAATTTCTTATATCAGCCAAAAAGTCTTTTTGATCTTGTTTTGAGACTGATTTACTAAACAAGAACTGATTGTGTAAGAATAATAATCTTGTTTTCAGAATGTGTAAGATTATTTGTCTTGTTAGCCTGAAAATTTGACTCAAATTAAGTCAAAAATTTCTGCCAGTGGAGTAAGAAAATTTTACTTGGTAAGATTCTTTAAATAAGAAAAAATTGAGTCAAATCAAGTATTTCAAGAATCTTACAAAGTAAAATTTTCTTACTCCATTGGCAGAAATTTTTGACTTAATTTGAGTCAAATTTTCAGGCTAACAAGACAAATAATCTTACACATTCTGAAAACAAGATGATTATTCTTTCACAGTCAGTTCTTGTTTAGTAAATCAGTCTCAAAACAAGTTCAAAAAAGACTTTTTGGCTGGATATAAGATTTTAAAACTTGGTAAGATGGACTTTGAAACAAGAAATGTTTTTTGCAGAAAGCACCTAAAGTTCATTTAGATTTTCCAGCTGATTTTTGGCTGGATTTACATTTAATGGATGTACTTGTTTCATTTTGAGCATCATTTGAGTTTGTGTGCCCTCTTCCTCCTCCTCTCCCTCCTCTGTCCTCTCAGCTGTTTCCTCCTGACTCCTTTCTTCTTTCTCCTCCTCCTCTCCCTCCCGGCCCTCTGCTTTCCTGCTGTTGGCCCTGCAGCACAGGAGCAGAGCTCTCCTGCATCTTCTCCTGAACGACGGGTCACAGGCTGCGTACAGGAGAGGGTTCAGGCAGGAGTTGAGGTAAGCCAAACACGTGACATATGGGTGGAGGGCCAGCAGGGTCTGGTCCAATGAGCAGGAGTACGGGAGGAAGTCGAACTCCAGCAGCAGGGCCACAGTTTTATTCAGATGCAGAGGCAGCCAGCACAGGAAGAACACCGTCACTAACGTGACGATGACCCTGAGGAGCCTGCGCTGGCGCCTGTGGTCAGGAAGAGGCCCGTGTCCAAAGTGTCTGCTGAGGAGCCGGGCCAGAGTGCAATAACAGGACAACAAGACGACGAGAGGCAGCAAGAAGCCAATCAGAGTGGATTTCAGACTCAAGGCAGCGGCCCACCACATCTCTGCTCGCTCGGCCTCGGCCTCCCCCAGCTCTGCTCCGGTCAGCGTGGAGTAATCCATCTGGCAGGACAGCACGGACCCGGGACCCCCCTCCTCCAGCTCCACCTCCCTGACGGAGCGCAGCAGCAGCCCAGGAAGAGCCAGGATCCCCGCCACGAGCCAAAGGCCTCCCAGGACCCGCAGAGCCCTGGTGGTCCGTCTGTGCGGGAGGTTGTGGCTGCAGCGCCGGCGTCCTGTCAGGACCTGGTAGCGCTCCAGGCTGAGCAGACTCAGGCTGAACACACTGGCGTACATGTTGAGGGCGGTGAGGAAGCTGCTGAGTTGGCAGAGGGGCTGCCCAAAGGGCCAGTGGTAGCCCAGGGATGTGTAGGTGGCCCACAGGGGGAGGGTGACGAGGAAGCAGAGGTCAGCCAAGGCCAAGCTGCCTATCAGGGAGTCGGTCAGGGAGTGAGAGGGCCGAGGGCTGGAGGAGTCACTGTCGTTTGCTCTCTGAAGAGAAGCTGTTGTCCTCCCTCCGCCTCGCCGCAGGTAGACCCACAGTACCAGGGTGTTGCCGAGGCAGCCCACCAGGAAGGCCAGCATGTATACAGCCGGGATGATGGAGAAGGAGGGGGGCCAGTCACTGTAGTCGCAGTGGGACAGGGGAGGGGGGGTGGGGGAGGACAGGAAGTCTTCGTCCGACATCTGACCTCTTCTCTACTAAAGTCCTGCTCTCTGATGAAAGAGGTCCAAACTCCAGGACCGGTTTGCTCCTGTCTGAAAAGTGAAACACATTTTACAGAAATAAACAAACTCATTCATCATTCAGAGAAACTGTGACTCTTTTGCTGCTTAACGCTGCGTACATTATCAAGTATGTCAGGGCTATTCGACTAAACTGATCCGGGGACCACAGTTACTGCAGATCAACAGCTGAGGGGCCGAACATCCAGCAATTAAAGTCATTATGTATATAAACCAAGTATTACAAAGATATGCTACCTTTGAAATTGTTTATTTTGCTGTATTTAATCATGAATATAACATACAGAACCCTATAAAAGTCGTGATAATTAAACAGTATCACAATCAAAAATAACACATTATGCCTCCTTTAACACAAATATTATTTTAACATCTCTGAATTGTCAAATTTTTAAACCAATTTTATTTTCACTTTCATAGTTTTAATCTTCAGCTGCTTGTAATTTTAACTGTCTTGAGTCATCATGGAAATGGGTTTTACCAGCTTCCAGCCAAGATTCTGATGTTTCTGTAGATACCAAACATGTCTATGTTTAATTAAAAGAACTTAGAGTAATTAAAGTGCAAAACCAGGTGTTTGGGCTTAAGAGATGAATGAACCAATTGGCGGGCCGAACTTTGGTCACTCGCGGGCCGGATGTGGCCCGCGGGCCGTCTACTGAATAGCCCTGAGATATGTTATAATACATAAAACTGCTGTAAAATCTAAAAACTGCTGGGTTATTTTGAGAAATGTTGGATTAGATGTTGTATTGGTCAGAGGTTGACAGAAACGGGCCTGACTGGACCTGACTGGACCTGACTGGACCTGGGCTTTATGGTAAAAGCAGTTTAAAAGAACTTGAACCTGATTGGCTTTGTTAATAACTTCACAATTTATTATTATTTATAGTTTGTACTGAACTCTGAGTTTGATCTCCTAAAATAACAATAGCGCATGTTAGCAAGCTGATGCTAACAGTGGTTAGCACCAGGCCACACATGTAACAGCTCAGATGTTAGAATGCTTCTTCAGTAGCTCATAATCAACAAATTAGTCATTTTAACCCAAGTTTAGGGCACAAACCAGTCCAGTGCACTGCATCACACTGATAACCCAACAGTTACCCATTCAGTACATTTGGGTTTTAGGCTAACTTTTTATTGTCAACTTGTTATCCTTTGCAAATACAATTAAAATGTTTTTTTTTAATAACAGCTTGGGGCCATTTCCACAACACACACAGAACCATAATCATGCAGACTTTAAAAAATATTTCACTGATGCAGCAAGAAACAGAAACATCAGCTCTATTCAGTTTTCTTGAAAGAAAAGTATAATTACTTTTATAAGTATGCTGAAATTAAATTTAGGGTTAAATTAAACAAAGACTGTCATGTTTTTAAGTAAATGCTGACTCACCTCAGGAAACCTCATGAGACAAAATCCACAAAGTTGTCAGATGCAGAAAGTAAAGTCAATGCTGCAGCGGAGGGTGTGAAAAAAAAAACCCAACCTTATTCCCTTGATTTAACTGTATCTGTGGGAGCGAGAGCCAGTCTGCACACCCCGATGAGGGGGATAAATATCTGTACCCTCCACAGTGCCCTCCTTTCTATTCTCAAATCAGACCACCCCAGCAGAAACTTAGGAGAGCTGCAAACATCACCCCACCAAACACAAACACTCACACCTCTAGAGAAACACAATAATACCCCCCCCCCCCCCCACACACACACACACAAACACATTCACAGAAGCACAAATAAGGTTTTCAATCTCCAAACTATTCATGCTGAACACAAAGACACTCAAACACAAAAACAACAACCTGTAATAAAACCAGGACTAATATTACCAATCAGATCATGACTTCAGACTAACAGCTGGGACTTCTCTGAACGAGGCCTGCAGCTGTCCTAACTGTTAGAAACTGTTTCTCCCAATAAAAACAATTTTATTGTGATAATTTAATAAAAATTATGTTTTCAGTGATTCACTCAGGCAGCAACACTTTGCTCAGACGCTGCACTAAAACTAACAGAAAAATAAGTAAGATGAGATTTTATCTAAATTATCTCTGAAAAGACAAATTTTCCATTATAGAATTTATAGCATTGCAATGAAAAGCTTGTGGGGTTTTAGTTACATTCTTCCGCTTGATGGTCATTTTTTTTACACTGAAACAATATAATTTGAATGTTGTAACTCATTATTTATGATTTATGTCTCTGAAAATGTTTTCTTCTAATCAATTTGAGGCATGTACACCTCTTTAAATGCATGTATTTAAAATGATTAAACAAACCTGAAAAACTAACAAGACAACATCATACATAATACAGTTTTGTTTCAAACCCTTAACTCTCATGAAAAAAAAAACAAAATGAATTGTTTGTTATTATAGTTGATTAGAGTTAAATAGACTTTAATTTTACTTAAGTCCAATAAAAACTGGGCGACTTTTACTAAACTAAGGTTCCAGTAAAATATATGTTGGCAAAAACAGCTTCTTCTTTTCTCTTTCTGTTTAAAATGATTGTCTGAGTCTGAACTCATTTCCATACAGAATGTGATACAGACATTTGCATATGCAGCCCAGTGTTCTAGTAAGGTCTTTAAAGTGCTTCGGAACAAATGTTTATTTCTGTCGACACGTCCGGCTCACCTGTAAATCCATCTTTGTGTCTCGCAGACATGGACTGTAAAAGAGAATCATGTTTTCTTGGACTGGCAGGTATGAACTGTTTGCAGACTTCCTGTCTAAGTTATTTACATTTGATGTATCAAAGTTGATGATAGATGGAGCAAAACGTCCTAAATGTCTCTCAGCAACCACTGAAATCTGATTTTATTCCACTTACAGAACAAGGATTTCTCTGCATACTGGATGTGAGCATGTTGGCTTCACCCTGACTCATCCTTAGAT